TTCCCATTTCCCCCTTATGTACAGACAGAGAACAGGCGGAAGAAATTAAATCCTCTCTTCTCGGATCTCTCTCTCTCCCTGTTCTCTTCTCTCCCCTTTCTTCTCTGTCTCGCCATGGCGACTCCGAGATCTCCATCGATTCGGAACTTCTTCATTGCTGCTGTTCTCTTGCTTCTTATTCATGGAGTCAGCTGTTTCTACCTTCCTGGTGTTGCACCCGAGGATTTCGAGAAGGTTAGTTGTTCTGAATACGCTTGTTTCAGACTTGTTGTGTTGAATGTTTGCATTGTTGTGGCTCTTTTGTAATTTCTGCTTGCTTCTTGTTGTATTGTCGGATCTGCGCTTGTTATTGGGAGCTACTGGAATAATTGTCGGTTGTTTGTGAGTGGAATGGGATGTGTGTGGGGGATTCTAGATCTGGAAATCTTGTTTATGGTTTTTTGTTATTTGTGGTTTTTGAATCGTAGTAGATCACGTTAAAATCTTCAGCAGGGATTGTCTGTGTGGAAGATTTTGGTGCAATGTATCAAATTGTAGGTGTTTTGTAATGTAGAAAATTTGTGTTACGTATCAGAGGACATTTTTTCCTAGATTCTAATTTTGTTTGGAGAAGTGGTAGGAATCGTAGGGAATACGCAGCATTTCGAGTCGCGAGTAATCTCTTTGTTTTAATCGAGTGTTGATTCTAGACGTGTTTTGAATGGATAAAGACACCGTGTTAGTCGTTCTGTATGTTGTATATAATGTATTACATATTATGCTGGATTTTGCTATTCTTTACTGGAGTTCTAAAACATTTCAAAATATGTTGAATGTTGTTCAATCTTTCATTGAGAACAGAATTTCGTGTGCGTGTGTGTGTTTGTAGCGTAATACCTCCGGCATAACGCGCTCAGTGCGTTTTAGATCTAAGAGATTATCGTTGTACTTTTCTCGTTTGAATGCAGGGAGATGAATTAAAAGTGAAAGTAAACAAATTGACGTCAACAAAGACTCAGCTTCCTTACTCGTATTATTCACTCCCGTTTTCTCGTCCAGAAAAGATATTGGACAGCGCAGAGAATCTGGGTGAAGTTCTTCGAGGGGACAGAATTGAAAATTCCCCCTATGTGGTGAGTTAGAATTTACCTGAACATAGAAAACTTCCTTTCTGTTTGGCGCAGTCAAGTTCTTGACTCCATTGGAGCTTTTTTACAGTTCAAAATGCGGGAACCTCAGATGTGTAGTATTGTTGGCCGTATTAAACTTGATGCTAAAGAAGCAAAGGATTTCAAAGAGAAGATCAATGATGAGTATCGCGTCAACATGTACGATATTTTTCTTGCGGAAAGAAAAGCGTATTATTTCGTGCTGTTGTTTATTGACATGTATTTGAGATTTCACATCTTGAATCTGCCATTTATGTGACAGGATTCTGGATAACCTTCCCCTGGTTTTCCCTATTCAAAGGCAGGACCAGGAGTCACCTGTTGTTTACCAGATGGGTTACCACGTCGGGCTTAAAGGCCAATATACCGCGGCAAGTTCTTTATTTTTCGTCAGCAAATTAATGTCTATGTTTGCAGAAATTCAAAGGTTATTTATTTTCTGATTCTTACAGAGCAAAGATGAGAAGTATTTTATCCACAATCATTTAGCATTTACAGTCAGGTATCATAAAGATATGCAAACTGATGCTGCAAGAATCGTAGGATTTGAGGTCAAACCATTCAGGTTATTTCCCCACTTATTCTATTCGATCAAGCTTTTCATTTGCTGGGTATAATATTAATCTGTAGTGTAACTTGCTTACGGTGTTACGTTGCGTTCAGCGTCAAGCATGAATACGAAGGGAACTGGAATGATAAGAACACTCGTCTTACAACCTGCGACCCGCATGCCAAACACATGGTTGTTAATTCCAACTCCCCGCAGGAAGTTGACGAGGGAAAGGAAATCATATTTACCTACGATATTGAGTTTCAGGTGCGCTCGCAGACCTGCTAGTGCTTTAATCTTTACTAACAGCCTAGTTCATTTTAGAGGTGCCATCTATTGAATTAGATTTTTATCTTCACTTTGTTGTCCGTTTCTCGCTCATCTATAGAATCTCGAGTATGTGTAGAGGTTAAATTTAAGAGCCTTTATTTATGACCCACTTTTGATTTTCTCCAGGAGAGTGAAGTGAAGTGGGCTTCTAGATGGGATGCGTATCTTTTGATGAGCGATGACCAAATACATTGGTTCTCAATCGTGAATTCATTGATGATTGTTCTTTTCCTCTCCGGCATGGTTGCAATGATCATGCTCCGTACACTATACCGTGATATCTCCAAGTACAACGAACTTGAAACCCTGGAAGAAGCCCAGGAAGAGACAGGGTGGAAGCTTGTCCATGGGGATGTCTTTAGGCCTCCTAAGAATTCAGATCTATTATGTGTGTACGTTGGAACGGGAGTTCAGTTCTTGGGAATGGTCGTTGTGACAATGATGTTCGCCATCCTTGGATTCCTCTCCCCTTCAAACAGAGGTGGACTCATGACAGCCATGCTCTTGCTCTGGGTCTTCATGGGTCTTTTTGCTGGTTTTGCTTCGTCCCGATTGTACAAAATGTTCAAAGGTACAGAGTGGAAGAGGATTGCTCTAAACACCGCAGTCATGTTCCCTGCCACCATATTCGCTCTGTTCTTCGTTTTGAATGCCTTGATTTGGGGACAGAAATCATCCGGAGCCGTGCCCTTTGGAACAATGTTTGCTCTCGTCTTCTTATGGTTTGGAATCTCAGTCCCCCTTGTCTTCGTGGGTAGCTACGTTGGGTTCAAGAAACCAGCAATTGAAGATCCAGTGAAGACGAACAAAATTCCCAGGCAGATCCCAGAGCAAGCGTGGTACATGCACCCAGCCTTCTCAGTTCTGATCGGAGGAATCCTCCCCTTTGGCGCCGTTTTCATTGAACTCTTCTTCATCCTTACCTCAATTTGGCTGAACCAGTTCTACTACATTTTTGGTTTCCTCTTCTTGGTCTTCATTATCCTCCTCATCACTTGCGCCGAAATCACCATCGTGCTCTGCTACTTCCAACTCTGCAGCGAAGATTACCTGTGGTGGTGGAGATCTTACCTAACCTCTGGCTCATCCGCCCTCTACCTCTTCCTGTATTCGACCTTCTACTTCTTCACCAAGCTTGAAATCACCAAGCTGGTCTCTGGGTTATTGTACTTTGGATATATGCTGATTGTCTCATATGCATTCTTTGTGCTCACCGGTACCATTGGCTTCTACGCATGCTTTTGGTTCACAAGGCTCATCTACTCATCGGTGAAAATCGATTAATGAATGCGAAAACCGAAAGCCGAGCTGATCTTCGTCGACACATTTTGCTCCATTTACTTACATTTGCAGGATGCCGAAATTATATTCTTGTAAGATTTTGAAATTTTAGTAATTACTATGTTCTGCTTTCCAGATGTAACCTATTGTACTCAATTTTGAATGATGACAATTCCTGTTGCCATAGCCAGATTATTTGTTCTCGCTTCTCAGGGCTTCTGTTATCTACCTACCTTCATATTGACAAAGGATTCACAATTTTTTGAAAGAAAACGCGTATAGATCCTTTTTCTTTTTCAGATTCTTTTATGGAATGAAAAGCATCTCTCTATTGCCTTTGCTTGCATATTTTGCATTCAGGTTGTAAATGAAGGAAAGAGGTGGATAATCTAAATTAAGGCAGCACAGTAGGGGGGGAAAGGGAAAAAAAGAAAACAGTTCCCAGCAATGGAGCCTCTACTTCCTGGGCTTGGTGTCTTCAGGTTCTGCGACATTCGTAGCGACCTTGGCGACGTCTTTAGCAGAGGCTTCGGGCTTTTTCATGGTGTATAAGGTGATATATCCGATGGCGCCGACGATGAAGAGGCCAGCAATTGTCATGGTGGTGATGCTGTAGGGGAGACTCCGGCGCTGGTGTAGGGTTGTGCCTGGGTGGTGTCCTGGAGGCCTCTTGGAGGCTTCCACTCCAGCTGCTTTTACATCCTCCGGCTTCATTTTGTGCGTATCTGCATTTTTCCTCCACTCCTCGTTGCTTCCCATCTCTCTCTCAAATTTTCAGCTGCAGGAGAAGAGTTTTTCGTTCAAAATTTTGAGCCCTGTGAGAGTTGGGACTTGAAACTGTTCTTTGTTGGGCGAAGGAGACTCGTGGAGTGGGGGAGTTGGAACACGTATCAGTTGCATGTCAAAGATAGCAGGACATGTGTTTCATTTATCTCTACCCCACGTTTTCGAACTGTACAATTCGATTCGATTACCTTTTGGCCTCTCGTTTTCACGAAGTCCAAAAGTTGCGCAAAATCATTACGCAGTACAAAACCAATCGCCTTCCCTCCTTTTCGTCTAATTCTTCTTTGTTTTCTAGGGGTTTTGGGCGGAATATGATTGATCCTATAATACAAATTTAAGGGTTAACTCGTCCATGTCTAGACGGCTTTCAAAGTGTGAGATCTCTCTTATCAATTGGAGAGAAGAATGAAACATCTATTTGACGTAATGAGCTAAAGCGGATAGTATTTGTTAGTGATGGGTCAAAATTATTACAAATGGTATTTAGAACCAGAAATCAAACGTTGTAAGACACTACAACTGACCCCCAAAGGAGGAGGTGGATTGTGAGATCTCACGTTGGTTGGAGTGAAAATGAAGCATTTCACATTTTAAAACCATGATACTAATAACGATACGTAATGGACTAAAATAGACAATATCTGGTATCGATAGACTTGGACGGTACTGAAAGTTTCATACCCTTGAGCTTAAGCCTCCACTTCAAAACGGGGGTGGAGAGTCAATCTGAGCAGCACACGCAACAGAGACTCTGGCATTTCTCCAACCCCGTTCCAACAACGTCCCTGCTACGACAGCGGTGGCTCTACTAGTCTGCAGCTGCGCTTGACTTGGAAGTTGATTAAAACAAGAATTTATCAGAGCCCATCAAACAACACAGAACAAAATTCTTGGTGGTGGTTTACCAGAACGAACATATATTATTAATTTATGGCAAAAGGCTAATCCACGTAACAAGATGATGATTGATATACAACCAAAAAACAATAGAAATTCAGCTATCATAATAGGCTACTTTACATATAAACGGCACAGAAGAAACCAGGAAAAGTAGAGTGCCAAATCCCAACCAGGTCCTAATAGTAACTTATATATATATATATATATATATATATAAAGACTTCTTAGATAAAGTAGAAGGAAAACGACTTAGATGTTGTAGGGAGAAACTAGGAGGGGAGAAAAAAGAAAACAGACGATCCTCTCCAACTTCAAAATGGACCAAATCTTCAGGAGTTGGGTTATTATAAGGGCACCAGGGCGTACCTGGTTTTCATAATCCTGAAAGATGTAAATGTGAGGAAGTGTTAAAACATAAAGGAACACATGCACATAAATATATATATATGAGGAGAAGTGTTGTAGCTGTGCACGGAGCTAACAAAAATCATACAAGTTTACTTGATGGCATTCAGTGCACAAGGCCTTGTTTAGAAACACAGAAGTGAGTGATCCGAACCTCTAACCTCTTGATTGAGGGTATATACTTCAACTAGTCGGGCTATTCTATCGCTTAACAATGACAAAGAACAAATCACGTAGCTAAAACACATCGAAAAGGGGACCAGCGAACAAATCCACCCAATACGATCTGTAACTGCCCAAGCTCACTGATCTCACAATCCACTCCCCTTGGAGACCAGCGTCCTCGCTGGCACACGGCTCAGTGTCTAACTCTAATACCATTTGTAACAGTCCAAGGCCACTGCTAGCAGATATTGCCACTTTAGCCTGTTACGTATCGCCGTCAGCCTCATGGTTTTAAAACAAGTCTACTAGGGAGAGGTTTCCATACCCTTATAAGGAATGCTTTGTTCTCCTTTCCAACCAATGTGAAATCATATAAACCACGTCTTTCCAACCGTCGTGGAATCTCCTAAACCTCATCTTTCCAACAAATCACGAAGCTAAAACACATCAAAAAGGTCGAGAAACAGACTACAATTCTACATTTAAAACTCACAATCCATACAATTTCGCAAAGCTTATCAAGCTAACAACCAGTAATACAAGAATGAGCAATAGAACTAAACTGGAAATTTTATTTAGAAACCAAATCATATTCTAGCAACCAATTTATTAAAATAACTGACGCCAAAGTTAGAAATAAATGTATAAAACAGGTACCAAGTGAAATTCGGAATTCAATCTTCCTGCAGATCATCATTTGAAGCGTCCCCACATAGAGGTCCCTGCAAACCTCCATTATTATCACCAAGAAGCTCACGAGCTGCTTTCTCAAGAAACTCCTTGGCAGCAATTTGAACAGATTGTTTTTCAGAAGATTGATACTTCCTCTTCTTTTGTACAGTCCTCTCTACTTGCTTCATTTTGGGTCCCTTCCCCCTACTAATATCTCTCATACCCTGTTTTTGCTCTGAAAATAATGAAATATATCTTTCATCAAAAGGAATCCAGCACAGAAATTCCCCTTCCCCAGAACAAAATTGCAAACAGATTCAACCAACCTTGGGTGAGATCTGGCAGAGAATGTTCAATAAAGCGAGTAGCTGCTTGATAATTCAAGGTAGTTGAACGCTTCAATGGTGCTTCATGAACAAATTTAGATGCACAATGATCGATCTACCGTGAGAGGAAATAGTAACATAAAAACAAAGAACAATGCTGATATAAACTAGAAATCAAAACTCAAACATACCTTTACTCAAGCCTATGAACCGTTCTAGTTTCTCTTGATACAAGCTTAATCTCTCCTACATGCATAAAGAAAGAATAAGAATGATTCTTCCCATAGGAGAATAACATTATTATCCATATGAGCAAATTTCAGATTTAATCACCAGATACAAGGTAGAATAATTACAAGCTCTGACTTGATAGGATGATCATCTGGATGAACTCCGCTACACCTCAACTTTACTGAAATTCACCAAAACAAACAAAAATTTCGCTTCCATAGTCCAAAACAAAAGAGAAACAAATCAAATATAATGACGAGTAACCAAAGAAGGTTACATGCAAAGAGAGTGGTAGTGGCTCTAGAAAGCAAAAGCATAGATTGAGCCCGCTGGAGAGGCCGCATTTGAGCAAGAACATCGGGCTCCGCGATAGACAGGAAGGAAATAAGGTGAGTTTGGACTTGTTCTACGTTGTCCAATGTCATCTTCACTGAATCCATCACTTTCTCGGGTACCACAGCAGATTCTCGAACACCTCCCTCCATATTTGCCCACGATTTTGAACTCCGTCACAATCACGGGCTCACACAGAAATCGAAGATGCGAAATTCAAATCCTGAGGAGAAGATTATTGCGAAGGTGATGACGATGGCGAAGGGGAGATTGGACCGTCGTCGATGTGAATTTGCAGGTGGGAGAGGGGGCGGGTAGGGCTTTTGGGTTCGAACTGGAAGGGGTTTATGGCGTCAGTTAGAACCGATACACGTCCGATCTCCGTGTGTGGAGATCTTTTCAAAGGGTTAAATGCACTTTCGATCCGAGGTTACCTTTAATTACGACTCTAATTTTATGGGTCCCTTTCAAGTTTCAAGTGCCAGCGTCCAAATAGTTTGGGTGCCCATACTCTATATTTAGTTTAGCTTGTACTACTATACCATTTGAAACTCTACCGGATACGGTGAATTTTTTAGCCCGTTACATACAGACATCAACCTCGATTTTAAAACACTTATGGTAAGAGAGGTTTCTATATCTTTGTAAGAAATATTTTGTTCTCGAGGTAGGATCTCACAATCCACCCCCTTTAGGCTCAACGTCTTTGCTCACACACTGTCTGGTGTCTGGCTCTAATACTATTTGTAACAGCTCCTTAGGACCCACTGCCCGGTATCTGATTTTAATATCATTTGTAACAGCTCAAGCCCACCGCTAGCAAATATTGTCTACTTTAGTCTATTATGCATCGTCATTAGCCTCATGGTTTTAAAACACATCTACCAAGGAGATATTTTCACACCTTATGAAGAATGCTTTGCTTCCCTTTGCACCTTAGTGGAATCTTGTAAACCATATATTTTCAACCCAGTTCATCCAATTGGATGGACCTTGGCATTGATTTCTCTTCCATTCTCTTCCATTTTTGAAAGCAAAACTTTTTCGAAGTACAAAGTCATATTATTCTATATATATTTTACCATTATAGTTAAGTATCAATATTGTTTAAACGTGCACAAAGAAATCAATTTCATGGTTACACAAACAAATATATATTTTGGAAGTACTAATAACCAACAATGAGTTGTGACCTCGTATGATATCCCGCATTGGTTGGAGAAGAGAACAAAACACCGGTGTAGAAACCTTCACCTAGGAGACGCATTCTTGAGGAGAAATCCGAAAGGAAAAGTCCAAAGAGGACAATATTTGCTAATGGTGGGCCTTAGTCGTTACATCACGTAATGCTTAAAAATTCCGAGGCTACTTCACAAAAGTAGGAGAGGAAGGGTTGATTCATTTGCTTCTGTCTCGGAGGAGCATGCAATAACTCAATTTCAACTCCATTGGAATAGGCAAGAAGCTGCCAGTCATTTAGATATCAAAGAACAAGATATTCATAAGCAACACTATGATGCAGATCGCCAATTCTAATATGTTTTGGAGTTTATAGCTATGTAAAAACAGAATATACATAATACAGAAACAGAGGGGGTTGTACAGATTTAAAGCAGTTCATGTAATTGTACACAGAGCTAAAAAGAAAAGCACTAAAAGAGGCGAAGAAGAAATGTGTTGGTATATCCGATCTATTGAATCTCAACTAAGACATCTATAGTTACAGATCCCACAATCCATATTTCCAGCAAAAAGGGGCAGAGGTTTGTGTACTTCCCTCATAAAGAAGAAAGAAGGCACAACAGAAGATACCATATGTGAGAGGTCAAAGTCACTAGTTCGATTCATCTCCTTCCTTCGATTTGGTACTGTCTGGTTTGGTGGTGGCAGTAGCGGTAGCGGTAGCGGGTGAAGTTTGCTCGTCGACAGAGGAGTTTGATCGGATATCTTTCTTAAGCTGCACCAAAATCATGGTCATGTTATCACATCCCTCGCCACCAGCTGTGGAAGGTGCCAAACAATTATCGAGTACTCTCTCTACAACCACAGAGAGTTTACTTTCCTGCATAAGTTATAGCACTTGTTAATAACCAGAGGGCAGAGAGACAGGGAAGAGAAAGGTAACGGCCTAAGCTCACCAGATATTGTCCTCTTTGGGCTTCCCCTCAAGATTTTTAAAATGTGTCTGTTAGGGAGAGGTTTCTACATCCTTATAAAGGGTGCTTCGTTCTCCTCTTTTTGTAATGGTCCAAATCCACCGCTAGCAGATATTATCCTGTTTGGGTTTTCCCTTTCGGCCTCTCCCTCAAGATTCTTAAAACGCGTCTACTAGGAAGAGGTTTCTACACCTTTAAAAATGGTGTGTTTTGTTCTCCTCCCCAACCGATATGGGATCTCACAAGAAAATATTCAGAATCTTGACCTCTTCGATCAATCCATGAAAATGGGTTACTGGTAGTTTCAGGATTAGTAGTTTAATCCCAAAGATGCTACGCCAATGAATGAAGGATGTGGTTTGACACATCCTTTTTCAGCTCTAGGTTCAAGTTGAAGCCCCAGGGTAGAAAAGGTCAATAATTTAAATCTTTCATTGTCAACCAGACTTTGCATGAATTAGTAGGATGGATCAGGAGCATAGTTTTAAGCTACCCAATAACCGATCATTGAAAAAAATATATTGGTAAATCTCAAGAACAACAAAACCTTCTCTGCCTTGCTGAAAGATAAACTATTTTACTTACTGATTGTAGCTGTTCATGTATAAAATCTACTAGCTGCTGGTTAGACATGCAATCCCTGAAAGAAATTCATCAGAACAGATATTAGCACAAAATTTCAAGATTACTTCAATAAACCAAATTCAAATGATAATATGACAAATACTTGATGCTCTATTCAATAAATTTTCAGTTTTACACTCCTTTAAGGACATACATTTAAGTATACTGTTCAGATAAGCACGTCTGCACTATCATCACCATTTTGCTAAAAGAAAGTGAATTAGATTATCATATTAAGCTAAACCAAGTAAAATTTCAATGCCACTCAACCTTTAATCCTTGTTTAATGAAAATACCCAGTGAAAATGATATGGATATGTAATAGAAAAAATAATAAATAAAATAAATAAAAACCAAGCTAAGGAGGAACGGTAAATACATACCATATCCCGTCACAGGCTATCACAATAAACTCGTCATCGTCGCAAAGCTCAACCTAATTAAAAGATTACCCAAAAAAGGAAAAAAGAACGTCATGAAATTTTTAAACCTTGAGAAGTATATATAACGAAACAATTGATAATTCAAGTACGAGGAAAGTGGGAGGCTTTATTTTAGACATTCTTTGAGAAATTTGAGAAGGAAAAAGAAAAACGAAAAGGATTTTCATGGGTGAAAAGGAGAGAGATGATGTGCATGAGATGTGGACCGACTCTCTTTCTGTTTACGCACTATTAAGCACAAACTCTCTTTCAAAACGCATCAATACCAGGATTTCATAAAAGAAAAGAGGAACGAGTGCTAAGAGACTTGAGAGTTACTCTCCCTAATCAATAAGCGGGAGAGGGACGAAGAAACTCGGCTACTAGAGACGAGTAAGAGCCAGGGACGCACTCGACGAGCAGACGAGGGGCTTTTCTGATACAACTAACTCATTTTCCAAAAATAGAAAAAAAGAACATGTAGGACACTCCAAATTAAAATACATTAATTCACAAATAAAAATACCCATAATTTATTAGCCGGTTGCATAAGAAGTAGATAGTGAAATTTACATAGCCATAGAAATTTGAATTGTAAATACAGCAGGCAGTATACGTACAGTGGTTACATCAGGATTTGCAGTGATAATCTGCTTTTCAGCAGGTAAAAATTTATTCTGCTTAAATTCCATATCACCTGCAGTAGTCGAAAGGTGAGATAACACTAAGGAGTTATAGATATCAGCCGAGTGCAAATTCACCTCCACAAATTTGTAAGTAGCTAAATTTTATTGTTCATGACTTCTCCTTCAATTAATTGCTTCTCAGTGAGAGTGAAGAGCATTGTTTTCCACCCTTTTTTTAATTAAAATTTTAAAAACTTTCATCTTCAGGTTGCATTTGAGAACCAGAAAAGAGCTTCTAAGTCCAATTTTTTTTTTTTTTTTCTTTTTTTTTGAAGTCAGAAACCATACTTTTGTTGAGTAAAAATGAAAGAATATAAGGCACACATAAAGACAGCCAAACAAAAGATACCAAACTAGAGTAAAAAGTGGCTCCAGTATAATGAAATACGACCTAGGATAGTTACAGAGAACCTAGACCGAGTCCCAAAGAGTAACATGAAACCTTACAAGGATCAAACCTCCTAACTTACTAGCTTTTAAGTCCAAATTACTAGATCGTAGTCTACTTATTCATCAAACACCAGGGAAAAAAGTGTGTTGCACAAATCATATAGATACCAGGAGCTATAGAAAAGTGGCCGAGAAAGTAAATAGAATAATAGTTGATCAACCAAGATATTGAACATGAAACAAATAATACTCGAGAAACTTGCAGTATTCAATAAAAAAGAAAAAGGAAAAAAAAAGAAAAAAAAAAAAGACTGTTCCAGGGCCAGATCAGAGAAAGCAATCTGCCAAGCAGAAATTCACATACCAATAGCTCTGGCAAGGTTCAAGCTACCATTGACCCGTCCAGCATGAATAAAACCACCAGCTTTAAGAATTCTGTCCCTCTCAATCTCAAGATCAGGCTTGTGATCCCTAGAGAGGCCGTGAGCCTGAACAAGAGTAATCATGTCAGGACCGTTCATATTATGTCTATGATTATAAAGCATGCAAGCCATTTCACTGAACTTCTCAACTGATGTGTATATCTATGTGCAACATGTCTTGTCCATACGTACTTGTTTACTTTAAACTTTGGAACATCTTGGTTTCATTATCTAAAAACTGATCTTAAAAATATTTTTGTATAATGATTAATTAAAATTGTTTATGGTTGCAGTTTAGTTCAAGATCTGTTTGGAAAGATTTTATGTTTTTACGTTTTCATTAGCTCATTCTGTATATTTATTTAAAATATTTAAAAATTATAACTAATAGTTACACACGAACAATCTGTAAAGCAAATTATTAAAAAAAAATACATGAGAGCTAAAGTATAAGATCTTTTCTGTTTTTTCTTTTCTTTTCTTCTCTTTTTTTTTCTTGCTGATTCTGTTCTAAAGACTGTTTCAGGAGAAAACACAGCAAAGAGTTTTCTACATCGAAAAACCATTTCTCGTTTNCGGAATTGATGCAAGCGACGCCGGAATTGAACCGGAAATCAGATTGTCCGCAACGTTCAGAACCGTGAGTCGTCGGAGCCGACCAATATCGGCCGGAAGGTCGCCAGAGAGACGGTTGCCAATGAGGTC